AATGTAAAAAAAATATTTTCGGATCTCTATAAATTAATTGGTTGTATCTTAATACGGGGAAAATTTGAATATGTCCCAAGTTAGAGAGGACGAGTTTTGTATTTTACCGTACATGAAATGAGGCTCCTCCAGCAAAAAAATGTAGAATTATTATTAAAATGTATGATCCGAAGCTTTCATGGCGACAAAGTATAATGAATTCTTCTCGGGCTACCAGCCGTTTCAGGTGGTTGAATGGAGAAAGCGCCGACGTTTCGACCTCGCAAACTTCAGTTCCCTGAGGAAGAGTACAAATATTGTTGTCGAAACGTTAGTGTTTTCTCTATTCGACCGCCTGACACGGCTGGTAATCCGAGTATAATTAATTATATTAAATTAAATCAGAGCACTTCTTAAAAGCCTGTCGTCAAATGCAGAACTATGATGTACGCATTAAGGGTACATTTTAGAATAACCTCTTTCGTTGAATTCTGGTATCAGAAAACAGAGCAACAGAACACAAAGTGACCTCACATGTTCGAAAATATAACTCAGATACGACAAATCGTTTAAGTCTGTATTTTTTTTTAAAGGATGCATCTTGCTGTGTTTCGATCGTTAGGCTGACAAGTCTATCTACACAACGATTCTTGATTGTAGTTTCAATGTTTATTAAGAATCCACTCAATGTTTCGACATTAATTTGTCATCTTCAGCTGGTTCTATTCAAGTGTTCAAAACTAACAGATACGGCTACTTATTTGCATAAATATTTTCTGACGTTCACTTCGCCACGTAATAAACAGTGTCTTAGGCAGCTTACTCATTCAGCTACTGTGGACCACGTAGGTGTATTTACCGGTAGAACGCTGTAGTAGTGAATCTTATTAAACATTGAAACTACAATAAAAATTATTGTTATTTTATTACAAATAAAATGTTTCAAATTGCACTTAATGTAATGCATAAAATAATAGTTGTTCCCCCTGCAAAGAATAAAGAACATACGATATCACTATTACATACAGCGATTGGCTAGTGGTGAATCTTGTGTTCTTAGTGCCTGGGCAACGGGAATGGTAGGCTACTCGCAAGGCTCTCACACTTTCACAGGTAAAAAACACAAAGAAAAACACATATGAAAGTCAATATCACTAAACATCTAACGCACTCCGCTTACAAGCAAAGCCCACACACCACTGCTTCAGAGACTCCCTGCAGCCATTGAACATCGGCTGCCATCACAGCGCATGCGTCCTTAGGATACATAAGCTACTACGAGTCACATCAAATATATTGAACCTCTGACAGAGCGAGATATATTAGCTAACTGTAGGTCCTCTTAAACTCATCCAGGAACAAGATGGTTGGGTGTGTTAAATATTCGTAGTTCATTGTTTGGTAGGTCATTTAATATTACCTGAAGATATTTTATCTATGTTGGTTTGTTTAACAGCACTTCATCGATTAGCGATGTTAAAATTTCCGGTTCTGCTACGATATAATTGATCTATTCAGTTTTTAAATTCCTTTTGGCATTTGATTACGCGTAAAACTATATACTTTACACACCGTCGGTTCAAATTGAAATTATAAATGAATTAGCAATGACATGAAAGGAAACTGTCATCGATTATTTTTTTAAAAAAAAATATATTTGGCAGGTCTTTAATGTCTTAAATAAGATTCTGAGCTGGTATCACCATGTTTACTGTCGAAAAATTAAAACGTAATGATGACAAAAATGTTAATAACAGATGGCAAATTCCTATCAACAGGAGTTAGGAAGATGAGAATCTCTGGGGATATAGCGCCGTATAATATCACAAAAGTTACTCGACGTTTCAGAGATGTCTTCATCATGAGGGCGATGAGTATTCCAGAAGATTGCCATGTTCATTCGCGCCACCGTGAGAACCTGAAATATCACTACAGGAACCATGTTTTTACTCGTACAAGGATGGCGAAATACACAAGAGCTTTATATCACTTGCCGGCTTCGTCAATGGCAAACTACTGACGCTGAAATCCATCAAAGTTTGTTTCATAATCGAGAGCTTCATAATTTCTATCTTTCTCCAAATGTTAGGATGACCAAATCAAATTAAATGAGGTGGCCGGGGAATGTAGCACGCATTGCGCGGCACAAAATTTCATACAGAATATTAGTCGGAAAGTTCCACCCTTGTAAGACTTATGTGTGCATGATAGAATGATACTAAAATGGATCTTAAAGATATTGGGCGTGGTCTGAAGAATTTTACTGGCTCCAGATAGGACCAGTGATGGCCTCTTGTGCTTATGATAATACGCAGTCTTATTACACAAAATACGAGAAATTTCATGGCTCCAAAAGTTCTTTTCCGTGGACTTCGTTAGAAATTTTAAAAGAAAATTTAATTAGTCTAGCTTAGAAAATAGGGATATTGTATTAATTATCAATGAGTCGTACTAGAGCTAACGGAACCTTGTTTCGTATCTGGCGGCGAATGAAACAGAGTTAAAACCAGGAAAAAAAATTCATTCGCATTTTGATTTATTTTTATCTAACCGCAGAATGGCGCACTGCGTTCCAGCTGTGTGATCATAGGAAGGGAATCAAATGTTTCGCTGATGTCAACGAACGTTTTGGCTAACACTGCCACTAGGGGTCATTTTATTCTGTGCTGTGCCCTATACAACACTTTAACGGGCATTTTATTTTGAATACTGTAGAGGAACGTCACCGAAATACAAACAGCATCCTGTACCAAAGTACAGATGAATACAGTAACAATAGACGTCAGGTCTAAAAAAAAATCTTTTTTGAGTTATATTAAATAATTTCCAACTTGTCGGATTATTAAATCAATACCCTAAACTATATTCGATTCATTCAAAAACCAATGTAATGATCCCCAATTTTTTTTAACCTATTTCAGTGTTCATGTCAGGCTTGTCAAAAACTACACATCTATATAAGTATTTGAAAATGACAAAGGTTCGTAGGTTAAAATCCCTCCTGAAATATATCTGATAACATAAAATTTATTAATAATATCTGCTACAGAAAAGGATTTACTATTACCACAAAAATTTGTCGCTGTGCTAAAAAGTCATGGTTCCCAAAATAATCATTTTACTTCAGCATAACTATTTGACTTATCAAACGTAGGTTAAAATTAAAGTTACTGGCCTATAGAAACGCATCTAACTCGAGTAAATTATGGCCCCGTATGATGGAGGCAGCACGTACCTCTGAAACGCCGGTAGAATTCTGCCAGACTACACGTCACAACAACCCAGAAACTTGAAAAAAAAACATTTCGAACACAAGACATGAAAACCGGCACAGATTCTCATCTTCTTACATCAGAAGTTGCTAGCCAACTTGGTTCACTTGCGGTAACCAATCACGGAGGATCATATAACATCGGTTTCCTACAACTGAACATTTCGTTCCGTGTGCATATTCTCGGGGTGATGTTCACTTTGAAATAAGTGTGTAGAAGAAATTTTGATAACTTAAAGAAAAACAATTACTAAACACATCATCCACATTCCATGATAAAAATTACAACAGTATAAATCCTATCAAATGCCGCACCCTCCCCCTTTTCAAAATTTTCCAAGGCCGTCGGTTTAAAAATAAAAATAGTTACATTTCACGTAGATCTACGCAGTTTGAAGAAAGTATTCTATACCCAGAAATATAGATAATAATTATAAAACAAAAATCTACAAAGAAATTTGCTACACTGTGAACAGAAATGCATAGTGGAGACACCTATGAGCGTATTACGAGAATATGTAAATTACTTCAGAGAGACATCTGTACACCACAAATTAAACTTCGCTTCATACACTTGACTTTTTTTCAAAAATAGGCCATCATCTTCAATGATAGTGATTTTAGCACGGTTAGACAAGCGTAATATAATTTTGAATATATATTGCACCTCACGCGTAGTTAAATAATCATATTTTATAAACTCAGAAAACGAAATACTGATTATTTTATATCGAATCGTAATAACATTTTGCGTATATTCAAACAATACATCAGATTTGCAACCAAGCTGCAAAGCAACTGTGAATAATTTCGGGGGGGGGGGGTGTTTCAATTTCCCCCTTGATTTTTCTGGAGAGCCTGCAGGCACAGAACCAATGCTTTACGAGGGGCGTGTATAAAGTTACGATCAATAGAGAATTGGGAGAGGAATTTTCTCAGCGTTAAAGCGTTTTAGACAGAAAATATGGCGTAGACATTATTTTTTAAAAATCTCTTTAAGTATTTAAAAATATTGGCCCTGAAGATGGATAATCGGAGTTTAAACCGAAACAGTTTGCTCAGCGATCAACAGCAAGGCAAGCTGAGTCACAACTAGAGCAATGATTGATGAATATAATAGGCTATTTTAAAAGAACGGATATACTAAGCAGCAGTGGCCTATTTTAAGGCACAATCTAAGCATCTTTCTTCAATAAGAATCTACAAACATGACAAGATACTGAAATCAGGAAGTTCTAATTCGGATCTAGTAATTTCTTCATGAATACAAATTGTTTTATTAGGGTATTTTCATTGTTTCAAATTTGCCAGATCTTCGAAAACACTTGAGTCATTATATCTGGTTAAGTGACCTGTTTACATGATACAGAATGTTCGGAATTTTACCCGTAGAAATGCCCTCTACACGAACACCCAACATTTCGTGTGCTTTCTGCATTTGAGCATGGCGTCCTACATTCAAAATATTTTCTAAAGTACCTTAGCATAAGTTGAATTTGCTGTTGTTAAATCGCTAATTAATTGTTTTAAAAGTTCTGAAATGCTTATATTGTTGTTATTTGAATACGTCACTTGCCAGTAAGGAGTTCAACATCTTGCGCAGTAAGTGGGGGATCCGTCTTCTGTCTAGGAGCAGGTTTTATATGAACCTCCTGCAACGAGTACAGCTACAAACTACGCATTGTCTGTTTTTCAAGTAAATATGGTGGACTAAAACAGAAGTGGAAAGGGAAGAAATATTACTTCATAATTTAGTACACACGTCACATTTATTAAGTACAAAATAAAATTATCACATTAGATAAATTTTAATAAATTTAAAATTCCGTCACATTCTACATGCCTTAACTGTTTCCGTATTTTCAACGAGGTACTTCTATTAAAATTATTAACCGTTTTATAAATTTATTTTTTCACGTTATCTCTGAAAATAGTCTACATTTATAACCTTTAAGTTACATGTCGAATTACAATCATCAAACAATATATATGATTTAAGAAGCACACACACACACAGGCACTTAATGAAATCTGTACGATGTCCAACAAGAATGGAAAGGGATAATTTAAAAAAAAATGATCCCCCTATTTTCATACCAAATGCTTTACTCGACTACTACATTCTGGACTTTTCTTTTACCATTGGAATAAAATTTCGTGATAGAGGCATTCCTCCCTTCAAAAGTTACTGCAACATTATCTCCCCAGTAAAAATTCCTCAAAAGTGGGCAATGCACACGCTGCATTACAACCTCATAAAAATATCGATCAAACAAGGTACTGAAGAATAAGGTCCTGAGATTCCTAACACATGTCAGGATATATTCTGCAATAGCAAGGTCATCCAATAGTAGCTGAAGAGTCCTAACGCTTGGCAAGGTATCAGAAGAATTCAAAATGGCGCCAGGTACGTTCCAGTTCATTGGCAAACGAAGATCGTCAGATCGTGAAAAGCAAAGATGTAGGCACTCTACTGAGGTACAGTAACGCACAATATCATCAAAACTCGTTCCAGTAACATCAGTGAAGTTTAAACAATTGAGTTGACTGCCTACCGATTTCAGGAAACCCTCTACAAGTTTATAAGTTGAAAACCATAAAGTAAATTCTCGTAAAGATTTCAGACTTACCAGTGGAGTCAAGGTACAATTTTTTACGTCTGTCAATACAAGCGAAGTAAGGTTGGAAAGCAATGTTACGGAAATAACGTAAAGAGTTTTAGAACAGCTAAACCCGAATTTCTTCAAAAATTTTGTTCGGAATATGGTAGAAGTTGGAGACTGAGAGGTAACGGCAGTTTCCGCTGAATCTCTTCCCTCACCGACATTCATTCCCCTAGATAAGTCATCCTCAATGAGGTTGTTCAACAAATCCAAGGGAAAGTCTCCGGAGTTGTTGATTCCACCTACATTCAGCTCCTCCAGATGTCTGAATCTTAAAATACTAGCAACAGCCAAAATTGAGATACCTTTAGAATAACTAATGTCCAGGCACTTAAGTTTCCTACAGTTTTCAGCAAGGATTTCTACGTCTCTGTCCACGCAACTGCGAGATGAAAATTTCTGTAACGTGTCAGAAAAGCCCCTCAATTCCAATCGCATTTCTTCGGTTCTCTGTGCCTTTCCTATACCAAGATCTGTTAGCCCCTTCAGTAGAGACGTCGTCTTATATATTAAATCACAATTTTCAATTTTATAATAATCAATTAGCTCTCGATGTCGAGAATACCGAAGACAATCGAGGTTCTTCACTGATGGATGTATCACAGATTTAAGTACCATCGGCGATATTTCCTCGCAAGCGTCTCTCAAATTTGGAAAATTTCTCAATTCAATGTAAACCCTATTAACGCGTCCAATTAGCAGAAGGGTGACCTCACTGGCTCGTTGTCTGTGTACAGATGCAACAAGTTGCTCCAGATCACTGCACGGTTCGTGATGGTGATGATACTTGTTATCATCACCTCTTGGTTTTGGAGCCTCAATCATCTGCCTCATGGACTGAGACACGAAGACCTCCAGATGACTGACCATCACATTGAAAATCGTGTCAGAAGTAACAGGGAACTGCATGCTATAAAAAATAAATGTATTTATCAATATTTGTTTCTCAATATTTCGTGTGCCTGAACAACGGCGTGCGCTTGATTCTACGCTCTGTGTGATCGATTTATTTTTGTCTATTGGTGATACGCAAAGAAAGGTAATTTACGTTGGAAAAGGTTTTAATATTCGTGGTAAAACTAAAATTCGGGATTAGGTCTATTCCGAATATATCACTTAAGCATTATTTCTCTGTGTCAAATCATCAAATACAATAAAACTCGAATTTCATGTGGGTACTTGCTAAATTAACTGCGCTGAAAGTTAAACCTTGATTCATTTCACTAAGTTTTACGTTGTTACTTAGCCGAGAGAAGTAATTCTTTAATCTATTCAAAATGTGGGAATCTCCTTGTAGATCACCATTCTTATCCTTTACCAAGTTACTTCTAGATCGGTAACCCTTCCTAAATTAAATTATACCTCTGTAAAAAGTCTCTAAAGTTTTTGTTCTTACTGTGTGTTGCAAGCTCATTAATTTTGTCCTTCTGATATTTCATCCTTTTGTTCTTGATTAGAAGAAAGAAATAGTAAACAACACATAACATAAGCTCATCTAGTTCAGTGAGCAAAGTAAATAATAACATTAATAATAAATCCACTAATTTATCCATAAATTTTAAATGTTACGTCTAAACCAACTACAACCTCCTAGTTTATAAATACTGCCAATTAGATCGAGAAACGTGCCCTGGTTTACTGAACTAAACCTACTATTCAGCACTTGAATGTCATCTCTCTTCCATGAAATAGCATGCGTAAATTTTTAAATGGAGTCTGCTTTAAATGGGAGAGAAATTTTAATAACAAAAGTAATCTTCTTATATTCTGTAGAGAAAATGTTTCAAGACGTGAGATTTTAGGTTCTCACGGCTGCAAATATAAACATGACCGTCTTCCACGATACTTGAAGGAAACATGAATTGTTAACATCTTCAAACAGAATACACGTTCGTAACATTTCCGTACGGCATGGCATTTAACGCAGTAAATTTACGCCATGTTTTTTTCTTCTCTCTTAACTTTCACCATAAATCGCGAAACACAACCGAGATATTCGGCGCGATGAACAGTAATCACGAAGATTTCAATTTAGCAATAAAATAAATTACGTGCATGAAATTAACGAAGAGTACGTAAATATAATTAAACAGCTCACCTTCTAATTAAGCGGTTAAAATGTACCCTCACAATATGACGACAACACTAGAGGAAGACTGGAGAGTGAGTGACTCAATAGCTCAACTCCAACTGGACGACCTAGAAAAGTATGAAAATATTACGTAACTTCCCGGAAGTAAACATTCCCGACGAAAACTTCCGGTATGAAAATATATTGATACAAGGTCCCATTTGCACACGGCGCTAAAAATGTTTTTGGTTTTAATTCCAAATGCTATTTTTATAAATTAAGTTTTATTAATTTATTTGTTTATTCAGTTGTCTAACTTGTCAAGTTCTCAATCTAGAAAGGTTGCCGATCGGCCAGGAGAAACGTACGCTGAGGCATGAACCATGATTGGTTATATTTGATGTAATAATGGAAAAAAAAAATTCTTCCTGTTGTTTTGTATGAATCTGAAACATTATACCCAACATTTAATGAAGAACGTAGATTGTGAGTTCTGAGATTAATTAACATTTGACGTATAAAGCAAAATAAGAGAAGGCAGGAGACAATTCAATGGTTTTGAGCTTCGTAATTTGCATTCTTATAATACGAGGCGCGTCCCAAAAGTAAGTTTCCCACTCGTCCCACAGCTAGCAAACCTTATATTGAGCGAAGCGACTGTGCGTACGTGATAGAGCAATGACGTAGCATGGCGCATGCACTAACGGTACTTCCCGCGTTCTCACAGTAGCATCGTTGCAGCTGTTGAAGATGGAGGTTCTTATTCCAGCCCCCGCCGACTGTGAAGTGCGGTCAGTGATAAAGTTTTTGAATGCACAGAGCATAGCGCCGATCGAAATTCATCGTCAGCTGTGCCGGGTCTATGGGCCTAACGTCATGAGCAAGCACACCTCAAGAAATTCCTGTCCGGTCAGTGTCAGCGTTTTGAGAATGACAGAGAGGCGGAGATGGTTGTCACACAGTGGTTCCAATCCCAGGCGGCAGACTTCTACGACACAGGTATTCAAAAGTTGGTCCCACGGTATGACAAATGTCTCAATTCCGGTGGCGAATATGTTGAAAAATAGCTGGACACTTGCTGTATCTGTTGCAATAAATATTTTCATGAAATTGTGTTTTGTTTCTGTAAACGGCCCCAGGGAAACTTACTTTTGGGACGCGCCTCGTATTATACTTGAATGTCCTTAAGCCGTCAGTGAATGTAGCACTCGTGAGATGAATGATAAATTAATTCATATTTCTGGTCTGAAACCCCGACGGGAACTGGCCACTTGAAAGACTTAATCAAAATGTCAAGATAATATTAAAATGTGTTTTAATGCAATAGTACCAGAGGTTGTAAATTGGACTCACTTGCTAGGCTACATTATGGAGACCAGTGGCTCGTTATTTATTGAATACGGCATCGTAATGAAATTACTGGTTCCATAAAAGATTAAACATTTATCATTTGGCATAGTGAATATTATCTTTACATGAACTTTCACCCATGGAGTCTGTTAGTTTGTTAATTGTAGACCTCAGGCATCAAATTTAATAAGAAAACATTTGTTTAGACAAAACAACCGGACAGACCATAACGTTCATACAATTTACGTTAAATTTATTTAATCTGTTCAAGAAACACATGAAACTAAAACTTTAACTTAGCCTAGTCACTGTCTGCGAAACCTTTTCTGTCACAAAACGTCAAACCCTCTACAGACAAGGGCCTTGACAACAGAAACTAAGTTCCAGACTGGGCTGAGTTTAACAGCTGGTGGGAGATGCAAAGTACAGTCAGGCAATAAAACTATACACTCTGTCCTACAGTTGACCGTAGATGTAAAGAGGGTATAAACACGTTATCAGTATTCTCTGAATGCGAAATACCGATGCTTGTGTACGCTGTATTAATAAGCGTTAGATCACAAGCCACTAAATGAATATTATTTAACTGGTGTGGATATGAAAGGAAACAAGTGTGAATTACACGTGTGTAATATATAAAATCATGCACACAAACATAACTGTTTACACTTTGAAAAGACACTTAGTGCCAAAAGTGTTTCGACCTCAAGAGGCCATCATCATGGCCTTCTGATTGGTTATGTCTCTTTTCCTTATTCCAAACCCTGCTACGACCCGCAGGATAAAACAGGCCTGTCCAGAACAGATATTATGTTAACGATAGTGCGCTCAGCACTTAGAAAAGAATCCAGCCCTTTGCCAACAGCGTAGCAACACGTAACAAGACAATGCCAGTACTCACAAAATCAGTCAATTTACACTCATATTCTAATCTCACTCCTTTCAGCCGAGTCCAACTTGTACTCTCTCCCACTCTGTAGCAACAACCTTCATTTTATGGAATCCGGGCGTATTATGTTGTTTCGAATCTGACTTAGGCTCTTTGATGTGAACTAATACGATTTTCTGGTTTGTTGCTTCTTGTAGCAGACTTTTGGACACCATAATTTCATTGAAACATACAACCTCCACCTTCAGGGTTGAAGCGAGGATTTGTATATTGGTGGATTGTATGTTTCTGCGATTAGCAGAACAGGACAACAGCTCGTATGTGTTGCCATTACCCAACTATAAATTACCAGTGTGTACTTAGCATTCGAATATTCCCTCCAATCTATTCATATTCCATTCAGGTATCTGACATTTAAACCAACAGAAGTAACAAACATGCATAAACTGATATTTCGTATCCATAATTTTAAACACGAGAGAGGAAGACGAAGTGTCCGGTAGCAATGATCCATCCAGATAAATTATGCCCTTCTCATAGCCCCTGAAACGTCGGTGAACTTCTACAAGACTACACGGCGCAACAACCCAGAAAGCGGACCTCAAGTATCCCTTTGAAGGTTAAAACGTGCACACTTACATATATACTTAAAGCCAGTTAGTTATTTATTTTTAATTAGTAATTTTATTTTTATTTGCCGTTTTGAGGTAATTGCTCCTGTGTTAAGTCACATTTTAAACAATTTCTCAAAACATTTAAGCCACTATAAACTACCTCTCGTTCTATTTTGTTAGGTACGCTCAAAAACCTTGCACACCGTGCAGTGTTGAATATTTATCTAAAATATATAAAATCATGCATACAATGAGTAATGCCCACGCAAATTGAAGTTCGCAATCCTGGCACAGAGAACGCAACCAAGGCTTACCGTAGACCAACGACGGAAACCTCAACTTGGGCCAGTAAACATTAAGCTGAGTGACTCAGTTTAGATAATACACCAACTCGTGCGCAGTTAAACGTTCAGTGTGGTATTACACGAAGTGTGGCTTTATAAAGTGCGACCATTTTATGCTCGGTGCTTTATAACAAACCATCGTCTCATGAATTATATGATTTTAATAGGCAGACTAATGATTTAATATTTCTGTCACTGATGATGACGTCTTGAGGTCGAAACGCGTTTGGCACAAAGTGTTATTTAATGTGTAAACAGTTTTGTGTGTATTATTTCATATATTTTAGTTAAAGCTTTTGAAATATCTTCATTTTACATAAGCTTTTCAAAGCTAGTAGTCAAATAGGTAATTCCTTCTTTCGTGCTTTAGGAATCTCAAGCCATAAAGCCTACCTTGTTGTAAAGATACACAAAATAGTGAGACATGAATATTGATGTATTTATTTATTTGTTATAGAATGCGGTACATATCAGATTTGGCGAGCAACGCTCTGGGAAATGTCTTGACACAAAATTTGAGGCGGATAATTGAGGCTTCACATCCAGAAGATGTAGAGAGGTCCCTTCTGAAACTGTCCGAGTCTCTGGAGAAACTTCTTAGTGGTGCGACGGAAGACCGAGCCAGAGAAGTCGTCGTTCTGCTAATTGGACACGTGAATAAAGTTTACACTGAATTGAGAGGTATTCCAGCATTGAGTGAATTCTGCGAGGAAATAGCGCCGATCATACTTCAAACTGTGATACCTCCATCTGTGAAGAAACTCGAGTGTATCCCGTATTATCCACATCGAGAGCTACCTGATTATTATAAAATTAAAGATTCTCATTTAATATATATGACGTTGCCTTTACTGAGCGGTCTAACAAAGCTTAGTATAGGAATGGCAAAAAGATCTATGGATTTGAAATTGGATGTGAGGGGATTTGCAGACACGTTGCAGAAATTTTCATCTCGCAGCTGCCAGGACGGAGACGTACGAGTCCTTGCTGAAAACTGCAAGCAACTTAAGTGCTTGGACATCAGCTTTTCTACAGATATATCAGACGAGGTTACTGAATATATTTTAAGATTTGAGTGTCTCGAGGAGCTGGATTTATCTGCAGTCCGTGTTATAAGAAGTTCTGCTGCTGATGGAATGATCAAGAGATTTAACTCGGCTGATGATGAGGAAACTGGACCGCCTCTTGGGCCTCATTCGACTCCTGCTCCTCCTCCCAAAGTTGGTCCAGCACGTCGAAAGAGGCTGCTGAAGGTCGGGTGTAGCCGTGCTGGAGAATCGACCTTAAAATATTAATTGCAGGAATGTCAGAATTTACAAATTCCCGTATGAGAATATGTTCATACCTCGATTCCACGAGGTACCGTTCACAAATTATGAAAAATCCTAGTGTTTCTTGAGAAACGTGGTTTTCATGGATCACGTTTCGTTAATTTATTTATTGAGACCCCGAATTTTCAAACGAAGTGAATCTTTACGAATCAAGCTAGACGTCAAGCCTTGGTGATTCGTTCTATATTTTGAATTCTTCTTTATGAACCAAGAAAGACAACGTAATCATAGGTCTAATGAACAAAAACCATTAATATTTCAGTTATATACGTCATGTAGACACGTTTATCTTCCCGTTGGTTCGTTAGACTGTTTCCACACAAACGTTAGAAGAAGGCACAGGAGAGACATTTAAAGTCTGAACTCCAGGATTACGAGAATGTTACGAGCAGTCGAAAAATCACTTACAATTTGTAGGATTTGAGGTTTTCACGGCAGTGAGTTTGAAGATGGCTGTCTTCTGGATTGTTGCTCTGTGTAGTCTAGTAGAAGTTCACCGACGTTTCAGAGGTCAATTCTGCCTTCAACATCAGGGAGATTGGTGGAGGCAGCAAGTACCTTAAAACCACAGTATACTTCAACCACACTACACGACAAAACAACCTAGAAGGCAGCCATCTTCAGGCTCAATAATAATTTTGACAACTTTGCCACGCGGAAAACTGATGTAATTTTATAAATTCTTTGCCACGAATCAACAAAGGCAAATGAAGTTTTGGTCGTAATGGCTACCACTCACGATTATTTAAATTCAGTAGTAGTAGTAGTAGTATAAATTATGTAAATTTATAATTTCAATACATGCAATGGTATAAGATTAAGTAAATGCAATGAAGCGACTTACGTAATGATCGACCCGTTCGATTTCCTGCTCCCAATAAAAAGACAGGCTCATGAAGATGGCTCGCAGACGACTGACCGAGTGTCTGAGCTACAACCACATAGCCTGAAGAATTATGAGAATATTAATTACAGGAAAGTCAGAATTTTCAACTTCCGGTATGAGAATATGTTCATACCTCGATTCCACGAGGTACCGTTCACAAATTATGAAAAATCCTAGTGTTTCTTTAGAAACGTGGTTTTCATGGATCACGTTTCGTTAATTTATTTATTGAGACCCCGAATTTTCAAACGAAGTGAATCTTTACGAATCAAGCTAGACGTCATGTCTTGGTGATTCGTTCTATATTTCGAAATCTTCTTTATGAACCAAGAAAGACAACGTAATCATAGGTCTAATGAACAAAAACCATTAATATTTCAGTTATATACGTCATGTAGACACGTTTATCTTCCCGTTGGTTCGTTAGACTGTTTCCACACAAACGTTAGAAGAAGGCACAGGAGAGACATTTAAAGTCTGAACTCCAGGATTACGAGAATGTTACGAGCAGTCGAAAAATCACTTACAATTTGTAGGATTTGAGGTTTTCACGGCAGTGAGTTCCGTCGCACCACTAAGAAGTTTCTCCAGAGACTCGGACAGTTTCAGAAGGGACCTCTCTACATCTTCTGGATCTGAAGCCTCAATTATCCGCCTCAAATTTTGTGTCAAGACATTTCCCAGAGCGTTGCTCGCCAAATCTGATATGTACCGCATTCTATAACAAATAAATAAATACATCAATATTCATGTCTCACTATTTTGTGTATCTTTACAACAAGGTAGGCTTTATGGCTTGAGATTCCTAAAGCACGAAAGAAGGAATTACCTATTTGACTACTAGCTTTGAAAAGCTTATGTAAAATGAAGATATTTCAAAAGCTTTAACTAAAATATATGAAATAATACACACAAAACTGTTTACACATTAAATAACACTTTGTGCCAAACGCGTTTCGACCTCAAGACGTCATCATCAGTGACAGAAATATTAAATCATTACTCTGCCTATTAAAATCATATAATTCATGAGACGATGGTTTGTTATAAAGCACCGAGCATAAAATGGTCGCACTTTATAAAGCCACACTTCGTGTAATACCACGCTGAACGTTTAACTGCGCACGAGTTGGTGTATTATCTAAACTGAGTCACTCTGCTTAATGTTTACTGGCCCAAGTTGAGGTTTCCGTTGTTGGTCTACGGTGAGCCTTGGTTGCGTTCTCTGTTTCAGGATTGCGAGCTTCAAGTTGCGTGGGCATTACTCATTGTATGCATGATTTTATATACTTTAGATAAATATTCAACACTGCACGGTGTGCAAGGTTTTAAGATCAAAAGTCTTCAGCGTAACTAACAAAATAGAACGAGAGACCTGACAGAAGATTTGGCTTAAAATCGAAATAAAAAAATAAAACAAACTTTCCCTGAAAAACAAAGCGATGGTAAAACAAGAGATTGTACAATTTGTTTCAAAACGTTTCCAAATTCGTGTTGAAAGCAGGGATCTTTGTTCTGAAAATTCTGATCTGCTTTTCCCAGTGCGTCTAGGTTAAGCTTTTGTAGTTACACCCCTGTCGGTGTATACCAGCCATGTGGAAGATTTTCTATGAGGGATGCAGTTAAAGCGGTCAAACAAAGAACCGAAAAATGATGGCGTTAGGGGACGAAATTATATTCGGCAACGCTGGGCGTAAGCCAGCTGGTGGCATTGGATAAATTGCCGAATTCAGTGTCTGTGTATTAGACTAAATAAACTGCTGAAGATAGACTTTTTTCCGTTCCGACTATTGAAGTTCGTTCATTACATATCAAACTGTTTTGCTATCACTAACATGCATTGTCCACCAATCCGACCAAGATCTACGGCGAAATCTGTCCCGTGTCCTTGACGGCGTACAGTAGTCTAACGATTTAGCAGGGCAAAATTCAGTCAAGGACGTAGTTTATAATGGTTTAAATTTTTTGAGAAATTGTTTAAAATCTAGATAGGTCTATAATTAACAATAACCCTGTTTCCTTACTTATAAATAGGATCAAAGGCGTAGTTTCACAGTGAGGGAAATTACCCACTTAAACTAATGTTAAAATGTGACGTAACACAGGAGCAATTATCTCAAAACGGCAAATAAAAATATAATTACTAATTAAAAATAAATAACTAACTGGCTTTAAGTATATATGTACGTGTGCACGTTTTAACCTTCAAAGGGATACTTGAGGTCCGCTTTCTGGGTTGTTGCGCCGTGTAGTCTTGTAGAAGTTCACCGACGTTTCAGAGGTCCTTTTTGACTTCATCATCATGGCGATGAATCCTGATGATGGAAAATAATCCCGAACGTTCGTTATTGTCCCAGTGATAAATGTTAACTCCTGATAACAATTTCCATTACATACCTGACTAAACGAGAGTTTATGTATATTCCTGCAGTTGCGTTTTTGTTTTATACAATAAAATTTTACTTTTTTTTTTTTGTAATATATTCATGTTTCATTACTTCCTATTAGTACGCTGTGTACATTTTAGAATAATTAGTAACCTTACAAGAAATGTAAAGCTAATATGTCCAGGCGTAGGAAAATTAATTGTACAATCAGAATGAAATATAACATAAAGCTTTTTTAGCGGAAAGTTCAAAAGTGTTAAAAATTGATCATTCGCGGAACAACTGTACATTCTATCATTCCAACTTATCGGCAAACTTTAATCTTCAGCTCTTAGCTATTTGATAAGTTCAGTGTAGTTTTATCTTTGTCATCCTTATATAGAGAACCTTGTTCATGTAAAGGCCCAAAGTTGGTCCAGCACGTCGAAAGAGGCTGCTGAAGGTCGGGTGTAGCCGTGCTGGAGAATCGACCTTAAAATATTAATTGCAGGAATGTCAGAATTTACAAATTCCCGTATGAGAATATGTTCATACCTCGATTCCACGAGGTACCGTTCACAAATTATGAAAAATCCTAGTGTTTCTTGAGAAACGTGGTTTTCATGGATCACGTTTCGTTAATTTATTTATTGAGATCCCGAATTTTCAAACGAAGTGAATCTTTACGAATCAAGCTAGACGTCATGTCTTGGTGATTCGTTCTATATTTTGAATTCTTCTTTATGAACCAAGAAAGACAACGTAATCATAGGTCTAATGAACAAAAACCATTAATATTTCAGTTATATACGTCATGTAGACACGTTTATCTTCCCGTTGGTTCGTTAGACTGTTTCCACACAAACGTTAGAAGAAGGCACAGGAGAGACATTTAAAGTCTGAACTCCAGGATTACGAGAATGTTACGAGCAGTCGAAAAATCACTTACAATTTGTAGGATTTGAGGTTTTCACGGCAGTGAGTTTGAAGATGGCTGTCTTCTGGATTGTTGCTCTGTGTAGTCTAGTAGAAGTTTACCGACGTTTCAGAGGTCAATTCTGCCTCCAACATCAGGGCGATAATGAAGTCAGCACTAGCCTCTGAGCTTCGGTAAACTTCTACCAGAGTACACGTCTCAACAACCCGGAAGACAGCCATCTCCAGTTACAATTTACTAAGAACTTCCAACATAAAAATGTATTGATTTCTTGGTGTCGATGCGTTCCGTTCCACGTGAAATGATAGAAGGGCCGATTTGGCAAGGCCTTGACAATGGGAAGTAATTCCAGGTTGGACAGAGGTTGACAGCAGGTAAGTCCTTACAATTTTCTTCGAAATGTATTAACTCACTAATATCTCCAGACTATACCTACATTAGTAGTCTGAGGTTCGTGATGAAAGTAAGAGTAGAATTCATTAGGAGAACACTTGTTTTTATTCAATTCAAAAAAACTGTTCTAATTTCCTTTGTTATCAAAAACACAGAAGATCAGAATATATAAAAGAATAATTTTGCCTGTAGTCTCGTATGGTTGTGAAAAATGGTCTCTTGCCTTGAAGGAAGAACGTAGATTACACGTGTTTGAAAACAGTGTGTCCCAGGATGATTTTTGGACTCAGGAGGGACGAAATATGTGAGGAATTTGCATAACGAGGAGCTGCGTGAATTGAAAGGGTCACCTAGCATAGTGAGGATGGTGAAATGTAGGAGGCTCCGATGGGCTGGAAATGTAGCACGTAGGGGAGACAAGAGTAAGTAAGGAATCCTTCTGGAGAATGACTACTAGGCAGACCAAGGAGTAGATGGTAGGATAACATCAAGATTGATCTTAGGGAGGTGGGCTGTGAGGATGGTAAATGGAATTGGCTCGGGATCGTGGCTGGTGGCGGGCTTTCCTATTGGACCCGCGGGTTCTGCTACCAGGAAGTTAATGTGCCCAAATGCCGATACAGTTAACGGTAGAATTTTTTTTATGCCCAATTCAAATTTATCTCCTTATCGATGGCAACTGTTTGTTTTTATTATGAAACGTTTCTGTAGCAACGAAAGAAAAACACTAAAATACCTCGGTTCGCTTAACATTTGTAACTGATAAATTATTTCATGAACTGTGATTAAGAAGCGGCGAGATTATTATTGTTATCTTCTGCTATACGAAAATGTCAACTTGTCAAAACAGAATTCAAAGTTTAATTCATTTCATGCACATCTGCCATCTGTGAGGTACTATACAAGGCTCCACTGCAATGTAGTGACGTCACAGGTTTTTGCAGGCCGGCGCAGTTCAATTCTGTGCAAGGAGGGAAGCATAATGAGGGTACGTAGGCGCAATACAACACGTTTTTAATTTACTACAACCCTTAACTTTTATTGAATAATACAAGATACGAGAAACACATAAGAAGTTACATTATTTTTGTAAATTTAATAAGAATAAACATCATGAATATGCGACTTAAAAGTAGAATTTAGTTAAACACTGAAATACATGCATCAACTACGTTCATCGACCTCACCAGGAAGTTCATTTACAAAGAGTTCAAGTTCTGTGAATAGCTTTGCTATCTGCTGTGTGTTAAAACACATTCGCATATTCTTTCACTACATGCCTGGAATTTGAACATCAAAACATACACGAGTTAGTGAAAATGATAAAAGTGATATTCTTGTATTTGGCTGCCAAATTATTACTTACGGATAGATGTGTTGGTAGCCGAATTCCCTACCCGAACAAAATCTTCTGACAGTAACGACTTTCTCTTTAAATTCTACCTCGAGGGTTTTCCCCCAGAACAATTGCTCCATACGCCTATTATTATGGAAACGTTGCATAAGACTCTCGAGAAAAAACTCGTCGATCTCGTCGCTTAAGAACAACCTCGTCAGTTTTGGAAACCGAGTTAAAACGAAGTCTACGACGTGAAGATCGCTTATATTTATCTGAAGAAAATTAGCCCAATGAGTCGGTGGAGATGCCGGAACCCATAAGGTACCAGGCCTATTCCATTTCCTTGGCAAAATGAGGTGTTCCCTCTCTTTAAAGCAAAGATGTATGCACTTTACTTTGTAACAATTCTCTGTAATGAAATTGAAATCCGTGTCGACGACATCGATCAAATTTAGACACACTAGTCCATTCCCTTTTGCAATCAGAAAATCCTTTACAAGAACGAACCTGGAGTCCGACAGAGTAAACATCAATACCTTTTTGATTTCTGCCAGTGGTGTCAAGACGCAGTCTACTACGTGCGACAAGTATATGAAACAGAGGCTGCTGAATTGCGAGATTAAACTGATTGTCTGTGCCGAAGGGTTGGAACAGCCTATACGAATCAACTGTTGTGACCTATACAACGGGGGACGCGGTTTCTTGGATGTGCTTCCAGATATGTCAACCTCGGCGAATCTAGCCAGCAGGTGGTGCAATGCTTCTTGCGATATGGAATTCACTTCCAACAAATTCAGTTCTCGCAGACTGTTGAACTTCAAAAGATGATCAATAGCATTATCAGACAGCTCCGTGGAACAGCTAATATCCAAATGCGTTATATTCTTGCATTCATTGGCTAACGTCTCAATATCGCTGTCCGTGCAACTACGTGACATAAATTTCACTAACGACTCTCTAAGGGCACCCAATTCCAACAGAGCACATTCGGTTCTGTCTGCTGGACCAATTTTTACGTCCCAAGACTCCTCAAATAATGGCAATATCTTATAAAATAATTCACAGCTCTCAGGCTTATAAATATCGAGTAGATGTGGATGTGCAGGGCATCGGACTCCATCCAACGTTCTAACATACGGATGTAACAGAGATTTAACAAAAAATGGTGTTATTTCTTCGCAAGCGTCTCTGAATTCTGGATTGGCCATAATCTCACTGTAAGTTTTACACAGACGTCCTAGTAAGTAATTTGATATTAGTCTTCCATTGTAAGCTGGCAATCGTGCAAGATGTCTTTGCAGTTTGTTGCATGGTTCTTCGTAGTGGTGATATCTGTGATCATCACCTCTTGGTTCTGAAGGAGTCTGGATCAACTGCTTCATGATCTGCCTCACGTAATTTCCCAGTGCAATGTATGCCGTGTTTAACAGCGTATCAGGAGTAGTGCTGTAGTGCGGCATCTTGAAAAGTAATACACAAAATAAAATTAATTTCCACATTTCATTATTTTTCGTATGTTAAGGACGAGGTAGGATCTTAAACAGATATCTTTATCTTTCAACATATTCTGTCGTACGCACTATTTAACATCCACTGAGTACAGAAAATACGAATCACGTGATATTGTAGCCGAGATGCGTGCCTGATTTTTGAAGCCGGGACCTCTCTCATATGTCAACATGTGCTAAACCAGGACGCAACAGAGATGGGTCACGAATATGAAGGGACCCCGAAGAGTTTGGTCGGCGGTCTGTCTTCGATAACTGAGCAATCTTTTCAGATCGAGACATTGGCGACTCACAACGTTTAGACTTTCTGTCCAGAATTAAAACCCAAATAATCGTTAACACAGGACAATGTCCACACGCGGACATTACCTGCAGCCCTGTTTCACCACAACAAGCAATTAGTGAAGGCCCGTTGTAAATTTACTACAATATAATATATAAATTCAAATTTCAGACATAAGTTGTGTTGAAATACGAATTAAACTCCAACATCGAAAAACTAAGGACAATTATCAAACTAATTAAATTTCGTCTACATTATTCCAATCCTATAAATGGTTTATCAAAAATATTTACCATTATATCTTGGGTACACTATATCTTAACTGTTTTCTTGTATTAATATTTTCTCCTGGTACCCCATCAGCTTTCACTGGGTACCGTGATAACCCGCGCAAAATAATGGTGGTATATTCAGCCAATGAAATTTCGCGAATTCCTCGTTTAAAAATACCGAAAGGCCTGCGCACGAAGTCAAAGGATTGGAAATAAAGTTTTACACACTCTTACGTTCATAAAGTCGTGCTTTAATGACTTACCACCCGTTTGTACATTCAAAAAAAAAACAGAACTTCGCAGGACAGCTTATTCATGAGTCATTTTTTTCATTCTACGTTGCTTTCTGAATGCGTTTTTGTAGATACCGTGTGCTTTGCCAGAGGTAAAGATCAAAGTTAATACACTAATTAGACGCAAACCGTATTTTAAAACTTTGAAGTTCCTACAAATCCCCCTATGCGGAGAGGGATTTCGGGCGATTATTTACGATTGTGATATGTTTGTAAACTAATGGGCACATTTCATCGAATCCTACAAGAGCTTTTAGTTGTTTTAAAACGCGTAACGGCCTCGATATCTGGCCAAAATGAGTGGCAGACAGGGTAAATGCGTTTTTGTCACACTCGTAAAGGCCAGACAAGACTATTTCAAACTTTATTTCCTCAATTTGCTTTACTAAACGTCATTTGACAACAGGTTTCGGTGCACGAACGCTTCCGAATAAAATTTATTTACATTGCATATATAGTTCATAGCACAGATAAAGCATTTTTTCTTCTAATAAAAATATAAATTTACATAGTTAAGATCGTAATTTGCGGTCAACTACAATATTACAACAAAAATAATTACACAATAAACCATAAACTAAATTGCTTACGTGTATTTATAACAGATGATAATTCTTGGTTGGGTAAATTTTTCTGTGGGGGTAGGAGTTAGATAGGAGACAATCTTTTAGTGCTATCTTAAACTTCTTTTTATCGTAATTCAGATTTTCTATAGTGTGGGAGGGGGGGGGGAAGATTATTAGGTAGCTTAATTCCAGCATATTAATTTTGTTGTTGTTACAGAATATGATCGAAATTGGAAATTCTGGTACGCATTTCATACTTCGTAAGGATTATTACATCGTTCCGAGGGGAGTTACATGCGACGATGCATGCATAATAATACATTTTAATACTGAGGAAATCACACATCAAGTGCATTTGTGCTGTTAACAGATTAATAATTATAACGAACTCTTTTGTTACATGCACGGTGGGACGGCGCCATCTTGAACCATCATTTCTTTGTTCAACACTACGTTAGAGCAGGCTGGAAGACACACAGTCGACCGGGGCAACCAGATTATTTAGCAGCTGAATTAACTTTCTTAACTTTATATAACCACGGTCACTTTTCAAAATCCTTTTGTTTTAAATTAGACGAAAATGAATGATTCATATGTCGGAACGTTAATTATGAAGTCGAATGTATAAAAATGATGTACTCGATCAACTGAAGTGAAACTAGTTTGTTAATTCCTTGCGTTAAAATCGGTAATTTGGTTCTTTTGACATCGCGAGAAGAAATGCTAGAAGGAAGTATAAAATGAAACGTAATTCTGGACGATTACCAATCCAGTTCGTTTAAATTCTCCTCCGGTAACGCACGCCGTCAAGCTATGAAATAAACCAATGACACGTTCTAAACCCTTCGTTGACAATCACACGAGAAAAAGGTACCGTTACGATCTCGACCCCGATATTTCAAACAAGGCATGCCCATGGCTTGAAAATGAAGAATGGAACTGCTGCGAAAACATTCTAAGAAGCGGCTTACCTTCTGGTTAAATTGTTAACTGATCCCACAATACCAACTCCAGCAACAGCAGAAGAAGCACGGAAGTATCTGACTGATTGAATGAGTGAACTCCAACTGGATGGTCGATCTGGAGAGGAAAGAACAGCCCACATCTGCGCATGTCCTTCGAAGTAAATACAAAGGGATAAGAAGGGTGGGACCGGGAGGGGTGACAGATAAGGGTGCATTATACTATCCAAGTCATAAACATTATTTCCTAGTGGCAGTAAACTGTAGCTCAGTCATGGTTTTGGATTAGGTAGTATATAAGTTGGTTTTCCTTCAATGCGCCTGCAAGTTAGTGACGTAGGCAAAACGCATAGTTCCTTCCCGACTACTTTAACAACCAGCAGATCAGATGCAATTTTTGATTAACTTCAGGTACGAAAATTTATTCAACATGTAGTCGGGGCGAATCGGTGTGTTTTGCCAATGTCACTAAACTGCGGGAACAAGGAAAACAAACACAAGCAACATGTAAACAAAAGACTATCGAAATGGGAATCGAGACACAGAGATACGAAATACAGCCGTTGCAAAAATAAAATAAATATATGGACAGAACGTGTTTCATAACTTAACCTAACCGTGCCACCAATCTCATATCCTTTCGGTTCGCATGTAACGGATCTCGAGCGCACAGATTCGCCCCGAATACAATTCCTTGAATCCTCAAGGCTCGGTCCCAAATTAAAATATTTCTGGTTTCAGAAACAATTTTTATTTCGATTTCTGTCTTCTGGGTTGTTGTGCTGTGTAGTCTGGTCGATGTTTACCAACGTTTCAGAGGTCATACTGCCTCCATCATCAGGGCGATGACCACACAGCGCAACAACCCAGAAGACAGAAATCTTCATACTCACCGCTGTGAAAACCTCAAATCTTACAATTTTTATTTCTTTTAACGAGATGTTAAAAAGTACGCGAATTTTTAATCGAAACAAAACATGGCGGGCCGGATGCCAAGACGAGGAATTGGATATTATAGGCGGCAGTTAAGATGGCGATAAAAAAATGATTTTGTCCTCTGAATCCAAAGATCGTCTGCAAAATATTTAATAATTCAGTTCGTACCTCAAAGAAAACACGTGACCTCAATTTGGCCGGGGGGGGGGGGGCGGAGGAAAACTAAAGAAACACAGGTTAGCCGATCTGTAAGCCTAGGTCTGAACCTGGAACCTACTGAATATTACGTACGAGCGGTATACATCTCGTTCAATAATCCACATAAATAGATGTTATTTTTCGTAAGTAAAATATTACGACCGAATAATTTAAACGGATGTGGGAAGAATTTATCGTGCCGTAATTTAAAACGATTTTCTGCATTTTCCTGGAGATACTGAGCAAAAACCACGAAAATGTCTTTGTGAATAACCGGTATCCGGATATTTTTCGACTCCGTGTCAACTACTGAGGTGGGGAGTAATAAAATAAATATTGATTGGTTTCAATGTGAAGAGTGCAAAGACAAGGCGGTTATGAATTAGTTTCAAGTAATGCAACTATTTGGATCGATTTAAGGAGAACAGAACGATTTATCGGGGCAGAGACGAAATGCTAAGAAAGGAGAAATCTAAAAAAGTCGATGGTTGCTATGGAGACGGCTGAAAAGGAAGGGGACACGGGAGATAGGGCAGCAATATGGAAGGCTTTCGCGGGAACTAAGTTTTGCTGAGGAACTGGATAGGAACGATAATGTTAAAACAGAAATCATTTTAAAATATCTATCATCGCGTAGCATTAGACCTTGTCGAAATATCACAAAGTTATTTTGCTCCTACATAAATGTGTTAGATTACGCAGTCTTTCACCTCAGTGACTGAAAATGTACAGTTCTGTTCTGCTGTACGTGACACTGACAGAACGTCGTTTGCAGTCATATTTTCTATCTGATTAAATTAACGCATACCTACATCTTCCAATCATAACTGGGAAAGAAATAGAAATTAAAATAGCAAATAGAATTCTTCAAAGATTGCTGCCTTCTGGGTTGTAGCGCCGTGTAGTCTGGTTAGAAATTTAAGAACGTTTCAGAAGTCCTTGGTGCTTCCATCATCGCCCTGATGATAGATGCAGTAAGGACCTCTGAAACGCTGGTAAATTTCAACCAGACTACACGGCGCTACAAATCACAAGAGACCCATCTTCTTACTCACAGCCATGAGGACCTCAAATGCTATAAGATATCAGGTTTTGTACAAGCAAAAAAAATAAAGTTAAATTATAAAATTAAACTCGTTAATTCACTGCGAGTTTCACATTTAATACACCAACTCCTGTGAAATTAACGTCCAGTTAGGTGTTACATAATCATGGTTTTGTATAGCACATACTTTTTTATGCTGTCTAGAAAACCATAATCTTTTGTGATTTGTATTTTATGAATTCATTTGTTTTCTCCACTGAGGTCGAAACGCGTTTGGCATTAGTGTCCTTCAAAGTGTAAACAGTTTTGTTCGTATGCATGATATATATTTGAACAAAAGAAAATGTTTTTGGCATAATGCCTGGTCACAATATTTATTATCTGCTATGCAAGTAGCTTTGTTACAATAAGGCAACATGCTTTCGAAGCAGAAAGTTAAGATGAAATGTAATTCTGAAGAACGTAACATTTGATTTCTGTCCACCAGTCCCAATAATTTCAGTTTTAACCTCAAACATAAAAAAATTACGGTTTCAGATTTTCAAGGTGGCAAGTCCGAAGCAATATGCAACACAAAATTTCGTCAGTAGTTTACAAATCATCAATGGAAAATCAGTGAACGTATTCCAAGCAAATGCTTACCTTCTGCTTGAACGAGAGACCACTACAACCCACAAAGCTAACAAAGACAAACACCACACAAGAACCATCGACAAACAGCTGTGTTACCTCGAATGCTATTGGTGTACAATGTAGAACGCATTGTGCTGCCTCAGTGTCTCGTAATGACACGAACTCAAAGGTGATGTGGCGGAAACAGTAGCCCAGTCGGTATTAAGGTAAACTACTTTCACACACACCCCAACCCTACTTCCTCCAGTCTCCTCACGAGTAATTAAAACGCATTTCTTAATTTTTCCATGCGTGCTGTATGCACTGACCATCTACTGTATACCTCATTGTCTTCACCACGCTAACAACATTTGATAAATTAAGTAGATCCGCACCCCAAGACAATCTCGCGGTCTGAATTGGCAGCTCATTCTTTAGGCCAGCCTTCCGAAACGTCGGAACAACAAAATATATGCTAAGAAAGGAACAAGCTAGGAAAGCCGACGAGTCCGATGGATAAGACTGGACGTACGAACTGGCCACTGCAAACAGGAGTGTTAATGTGGAAGGCATTTGCGACTATGATATATTACTAACAGAACATAATTTATTTACGTTCCATACAAACTTCAATTGCCCTTGCCAAAGATGTAAAACATATGTCATAGCAAGAATAAAATACTTATTTATAATACAAGTATTAATCTGTATAGTTAAGACCGTAATTTACAGTCAAGGAAACTTGTAGAATAAGGGGCAGTTAAACAGATGTTTAGTGGGATAAAAGGAGAAGAAAAACACGTTTACAGTTATGGAAGAGGCATTTATGACTTGATAAAACATAAGTATATCTCAAATGTACAATTTTAGATTAATTAAAAATTAAATTAAATTAAATTTTATTGAGTTATCTCATAAATTGGATAAATAAAGTTATGAAACAGTATTAAATGTTTGATGGACTGATTGGAGTTGCGCAGTTTGCGTTTAGCTTTCCTGTTTAGTATGCGATGATGCTGTAATGTAAATACGCCTGTTTGCTGCTTAAATGTGTACGGAGTGACTCCGTTTGAAACGAAAAAAAAATAATTAAAACATTATAATATTAGTAATAACGACTGCATTTTATTAAAATTTTCATCGAATGTACAATAAAACATGGAGTTAATAAAATAATCCCAAAATGGGATTTGTTCAAATCGGAAGCGACGATGGGCAGCGAAATGCTTCAATCTCTTTTCCAGAATTTGTGATGTGACTGGTTTGAATGCAGCAGCAATATCGTCCCTCGTATCTTGAATATCTGTTGGATGCTGACGCCAAAAAAAAAGTCTGGTGTGTTCAGGTCGGAAACAATTTCGTCTAACGGCGCACGATGATTTGGCACGTGGTATAACGCACATTTGTTTCCATTGACAAACACTGTAAAGACGTCCTGCGGATTGACACCATAGTCTCTTATCAGCCTTCGCAAAACTAGTTCAGTAGTCATATCACTTCTCAAAGACGAAGCCAGTCTCCAGAAATTCTCATCATCTCACGATATTTCTGTACACAGGACACACTTTAGCTCTCCCGATGAACCCTCGTCACAGTTTGAAACTGCGCAGAACACTGAACCAAATACTGAAGTTCAATCTCGTACAGCAAGCAAGAAATTTATACACTTACCCCTCTCACCCCTCCACCCTTTCTTTTACCACTCGAATGCAGTTTCAACAATAAAATTATTGATTTTAAAGACGAGAGTGATGAATGACTTATAATTCGATTGCAACCCCCGGTGCCAAATTCGATAACACTATGTGGCTGATTTCTGTATTTCCGTCATCATAAAATACCTTGGAGGTGGCAATGTCTTCGCTGAACGTGATTTCTCCTTCGGATCCCCAAAACAACGTTCGCAAGCGTGGAGTAAACACACGACGAATGAAAAGTTGAAAAGTGACCCCAGTTAGATCCTTATGCAAGTACAATTTTGTAACGTTTGGCACACAACAAAGTACATAAGCTTCAACTTCAAAACTCTCTATACTCAGTTCAAGAGTTGTAACACTCGGAAAGGTGAGATCAGACTCCTGATGGTTAAAACGCGCATTCCAATTCTCTGGTAATATGAGATGGCTAGTATCAGTATTGCAAATATGGAGGCAGTTTACTACAGGACACCACTGGCGAAGATACGTCAAATTCATGGATGTAACTTCCGTTAAGTTCAGACAAGTTAGTCGACTACCTACCCTTCGCAATAAATCTCTAACGTCCTCGAACCTAACCATACACAAAGCAAGCTCTGTTAAATTCATCAGATTGCTCAGTGGGCTCAAAGAAATGTTATGCACGCTGCTCAAAGAGAGCGACACGACGTTAGTAAAATACGAGATAGAGATGATGTCGTCAACTGTTGGCGCAGAACACCCAAAGACCCTCAAGAACTCTGCCCGTGGCGGCCTCAAGGAACGTTGACGCCTGATCGGCGGAACTACCACATTACGATCAAGGAGGTTGTCGAACAGAGTTCGCAGGGCACCAGGTGATATGAATCTTGCTTCAAATAAATTCAGCTCTTCCAGATGCGTAAACCTTAAAATCTGTTCGACAACCCCATCTGACAAAGCTGTAGATAAGCTAATGTCCAGGCACTTAAGTTTCCTGCAGCAGTCGGCAAGGACTTGTACATCTCTGTCCTCACAACTGCGTGAAGAAAATTTCTGTAATGTGTCTGCAAAGCTTCTAACTTCCAATCTCATACGTGGTGTCCTATTTGCAACTCCTATGCCAAGCTCCGTGAGCCCCTGCAACATCGGCAACGTCTTATATATTAAATCGCAAACTCTAATTTTATAAAATCCCGATATCTTTGGATGATGAGAAAAACGAATGCAATCAAGTTTCTTCACATTCGGATGCATCAAAGATTTAAGGACCAGGGGCGCTATTTCCTCGCAGGCGTCTCTGAAAGTTCCACCCGCTACCAGAGTAGCGTATTCTTCATTTACGTGTCCAATCAGCACATAGGTGAAGTCCTCGACTTGGTCCTTTCCATCCGCTACCAGAGTAGCGTATTCTTTATTTACGTGTCCAATCAACACATAGGTGAAGTCCTCGACTTGGTCCGTCGGCAGCCATCTAAGAAGTTCCTCGAGACGCCCGCAAGCAGCCTGATAGTCAAGATTCTGCATAAAGGCGCCTTCATGTGTACATGTCTCGATCATACGCCTCATTACCACTGCTACGCACTTCCCCAGTGCATCGAGTGACAAACTGGCAAGCGAATTGGGATTAGTTATAAGCGGCATGCTGAAAAAATTAAAAAATTTTAATGTACAGATTTATTTATTTCGTGTAAGTAATAAATAAGCCTGCTACTGATAGCAGATTTTCTCGTGGACCAACTCACGCACTCAATAGTCGCATTTGCGAAAAGACACAACTTCCCTCGTGTTACATGAATTTTTTCTTTTCGTTCTTGAAATCAACTAAAATTGAACACAACTTGGATTAAAATAGGCCAACTTTAATATTGGCATTTTCTTGTGTCTAAAAGGCGCAATTCATTTAATTGGCCGTCATACTGCAATATTTTTTTCCCTTTTATCTCTGAATATTCTATCCGACCATCTTTATGTTTCAAGTATCGCTGTTATATAATCGCTTGCCCCTGATATCGACAGTGTTACACTCAGAACCAAGTTTGGACTTTCCACCCCCGTGTATGTACGCTAACATATTGTATACAGATAAATCTGTAGAATTAGAACGTGACACGTAAGGAAAATAATGAAAGTCCTTCCGACCTTAACAGGACTGTTCACCCTTCAATAAATTCTACATTAGATTTAGTTCATTGCATTCGATCTGTAATCTGTAATTTCTAAACATGTTTAGGAAAGTGCCTCGGATATCTAAGTACCTAACTAATAAAGTAATGTAACAATTTCAATGTCCATGCTTACAACCTCATATTCTAATTTGTCTCTACGAGCCAACTGGTTACACGTGTATAAAACAAAACACAGGAACATTTGATTACAGCCTTCGCAAGTATCTCATTGTTTCAAAACACATAACAGATCTGACATCTGGCCATAATGACATTCAGAACAATTCCAAATATTCAGATAATTATAATAAGAAAATCGTTTGATTGGATGGGAAATAGTGAAGTTGAACGCATTATGCACTCGACCACGTGTGCTAAATTAATATGTTGTAAACTCCTTGTATTAAAACTGACTAAATAATTATTAACTCGAGGGTAAATTATCACAGCGCAGTAGGTATTATCCTAACATTTCCGAAGTAAATGCATGTTTTATGATAAGATAAACGCAATCTGCAATGGCAATTTTCGAATCGAATCGGCTTATAATGCATATCGGTAGGATAAGTCACACAGTAAATTTTGTAACAATTCTAAAATCCTAGTCATGAATCGTACAAAAGAGAAGATTTTTGATTAAATTCCTCCAAATCTACCATTTTAAATATTCTGAACTTTTATCGGTAAAGATGAAGAAATTAAATAATGGAATGGAATGGAAAGGGCCATTTTGAGAAGCTGCTTACCTTCTGGTCGATCCGTTAGATTGTCTGTCCAAAGCAGAAGAAGGCTGACAAGTGACTGACTTGAAGGACTAGACCCAACCAACTAGTCTGAAGAATTAGAAGAATATCACGTAATAGCCGGAAAGTCGAATGAAATCTTATACCAACTTCCGGTACGAATAAATGTGTCCAAAATTATATTTTAAAAAGTTCTGTCCCGAAATTAAGCTGAAAATTTTTCTTGTTTTCTTTCAGACACAAATGGCATTGTGGATTGTGTTTATACATGTTTAAAGAGGTATTAAAATACGTGATTTCGTTTTTTTCTAAACAAAAGAGGCGAGCGGAAACACGCGGCAGGCCTGATGATAAGGTAAGGAATCGAACGTGATTGGTAGTAATAAAAACGACAAAACTCCATGTTTTTAATCTCGTCCCCCGTGAAACAAAGTAAAGATTAAATTATAGAAGGCTGTAATTTTTCATGTTGTTCTGTGTGGCCAAAACTCAGCTTGTGTTTAAAAGGAGGGCGCTGACCTCAGTACTTGGACCAAGGGACGGAAAGTGCCAGAAGCCTGGGGAAAACACAGTGAAACGCTTTGTATTGTTTAGAAAACGATATAATATTATAATTACCTTCAGTTAGTACTCAAGGACAAACAGATTCAGTACACTTTGATCTTACTAACGCATTTGACTTAGTTCCTCATAATATTCTTCTTGGGAAACTTAGAAACTTTGGACTATCACCCAGTTATGTTGATTGGTTCCATAGTTATCTTTCTGACAGGCAATCTTTTGTTCGTGTATCAGGAACTCTTTCGTATCCTTATCGTGTTAAGTGTGGAGTGCCTCAGGGTTCCACCCTAGGCCCCTTACTTTTTAATACAGTCATTAATGACATCTGCGATTCCATACATAACTCACAGAGCCTTTTATTTGTTGATGACTTAAAGATATATCGGAGTATTAGCGATGTTGATGACTGCAAACTGTTGCAGGACGACATCCATTCAGTGCAAAATTGGTGTCTTGTGAATGGGATGCAACTTAATTTAAGTAAAACGACTGTTATATCGTTCACCCGAAAGA